CGGCGAGGGTTTTGGTTCCATCGGGCTCGGCTAGTGGTGTTAGGCGGGTTCGGGTGGGGCTGGTGTGGGAGTTGGTTTTGTTTTCTCGGTTGAATTTGGGTCGATTCGGGATTGATTCGGGGCTTGGTTTCGACTACTGTATAGGCAGTTTGAAGTTTCGGTAGTGGTTTCTCGGGCTTGGAATCTTTCTTGAATGAATCGTTCGCTGTTGGTTGTGACGGTTCGTTTGCTGGGGAGGGGCTTTGTCTGTTTTTTATGTTTCTTCTTATGTTCCTTTTTTGTCTTTGTTGTTTAGGATTGTATTTTTTGTTTGGGCCGTTGGCCCCTGTGAGTCCGTATTACCCCGTGGGGGTCGTCCTTATTCTCCTTTGGGGAGCGTTTTCAGTGTAGGTTGTGTGTGATTGTTTCGTGTGTGCCGTTTGGATTCTAGCATGGCTAGCGTCGGTATCTAGGCGATCTCCGGATCTGTCCTCTCTGTTTTCTCAGCTGTTGGCTGCGTAGTTCAGCTAGGGGTTGTATCTTTGCACATTTGTGCGTTTTATTTATAGTTATCTCTATCATTCCGAAAAAAAAAACATTTTATAAGCCTATAAAACAATAAGTAGGCGATTTGATACAAGTTTATGCATTAGAGAAATGCTATAAGTACATAAAAATGTACATAGAATTGCAGAAATTCTATGGTGCCTATATGGGCACCATAAGCCATGCCACAATATGATGTGGCATATGATGTGACTTTATAATTAGATTATCAATTCCAACCTGTCAATCATGTTTCCATGAAAATAAAACGATAATTGTGAAATAAATAAAAAATCTTGATGGGCCGCAGGACTCATAAACGAACATGAATCAATAATTCAATATCAGAATTGATTCACAACAATATACAAAATTACAAATATCTTTTACAAATTCTAGTAGAAAATATGAAACTAGTTGGTGTAAATATATTAGATTACAAGTCTACTTTTTACTCCAAACGAGAGTAAGGAATTTATTAAAAAAAAAAAAGAATTTATTAGCTGTAGTAAGCTTGGAGATGAATCTCACAATAAAATAAGATTAAATAATAAATTAGCAAGAATATGCTTTCTTTTTTGATTTATTTTCCATTGAAGAGGGGCAGGGCAAAGGGGAATCGATAACCAGTTGAAACTGGTGAAACTGGGTAAAAGTGGTTTATGGGACGAAGGGATTCTGATTGGGGACGAAGAGATTTCTGTCGTTCGAAATTGGGTGAGATTGCAGGTGAATTTGGGGACGAAGGGATTCTGATTTTGGTGTGTAAAATTTTAGCCGTGTATTGTATGCCATGTTAGATATTACAATTAAGATAAATAAAGTCACCTCATGTGACACATAAGATTATGGCATGGCGCATGTGACCAGTGTTTTAAATAGCGCAATTTCGCACGCTACGTAGCGCGCTATAGCGCATTTTCACCAAAAAACGCGACATAGCGTATATTACACTATATTTTGCACAGTTCCAGAAAGCGCACGTAATTTACGCTATATTTTGCGCTATTTACGCAATTTACGCTATATTTTGCGCTATTTCTCACGCTATTTGGGCAATCCTTATTTATAGGCAAAAAATAAAAAATAAAATAATAAAAACTAAAAAAAAAACGTAGGGCACAAAATTGAGTAAGTTCTCCTATGGCGAATTTGAGTGACTATTAGATCATGTTTCGTATTTATCTTGAAAAAAAAAATTATTTGAAAAATTGATATCAATATAGTTATAATTGACCTTTTGGACTATTAGAATAATGTGATGTTTATGTTTCTTAAGCTCAAAAGTGAAATGGGATGAACACTTCATTGTTTCTCCAAATGATGGGGAGATGCAAGAATTTGGTGAAATACAAATTATTTTTTTGTAGTGAAATTATCCATAACTTTGATAAAATTGACGATGATAGCTAACTTCAATTGGATAACACCGATCATTTTAAGATTTTGAGTCTCTGCTTTAAACATTAAGACTTTGGTTTGGTTGTTTGAAGAATTAATATATGAATGTCATTTTTTATATTCAGTGCCCAAGTTAATTTATGGTTTAAGACCATTTTAATTATTTGTTCGCTTGTATGATTATATATATTATTTTTGGCATTAAAAGTGAATTGCTCGAATAGCTTACGCAATGCGCTACGCTATTTACGCTACGCAATATAAGGACCAAAACGCGACGCAGTGCGCGATGCGCGTTTTAAAACACTGCATGTGACACATAAGATTATGACATGGCTTATGGCGCCCGTATGGGTGAATTCGGCTAAAAATAAATAATTAAGTGGACTCCACTCTATATGAATGTTATGTACACCTTGTACATTTATTATGTACTTGTAATATTTTTTTTTATTTATGCTAGTGTAAAAAAAAAATTGAAATTGTATGAGATTAATAAATAAAGTTGCTAATAATAGATTTTAAAATTGGAAATATCATAAATTTGTTAATTAACTCAAAGAAAACTTAAAAAAAAATGAAAAAAACTTGCTAACTCAACCACAGTTAACAACAAAGATCAATTCTGTCACTGCGTATTTATGTCCATCTCTCTCTCTCTCTCTCCCTGTGACTTTCTCTCTCCTCTTCTGTTCCCCTTTCGCAACCGACGTCACCAATCATCTTACGATCAGCACCCGACGTCGTCAATCACTCGTCCTCATCCATTCCTACAATCCGTTTAATAATATATTTGCATTATTTTTTCAGATTTGTAGCTTTCGCAGATTGAAACTTCCTGCAGATCCGACTTCCGGTTGCTTACTCGTTCTGGTTCGCTCGTTATCTTTCTATACCTATGTTCCTTTTCAATTTTAGTCAAGGATTATCTGTCCTAGTAGGTTGGGAGATCTGATTGTGATTGACAATTGAGCAAATTTGGGATTTAGGGTTTCAGTATTTGATGTTCGAGGTTTTGATAGGTTTGCTGAATTTAGCTTACGTATTTGCATCTGTTTGTTCATGTGTTTCTCTTTTGTATTGCTGGGTGAGTGGAATGTTTTACAAGTTGCGCAATTGATTACAAGCGATGTGAAAAACAAAAAAAGAAAAAAAGGATTGTTTTTACACAATTTTTTGTAATTTTTCTCAGCACAGTTGACTAGTTGATATCTAGATCGAATACCTTGTCAGAGATTGATGTGGATAGTTTCTTGTTTCTTCACATTGAGGTGGCCAGGAGTAGCTAGGAAGGGGTAGGAAACTTAAATTCTTCACTTACCCAAGTGTTGTGGCAGAATCATGATGGCACCTTGTTTAGTGAAGTGAAATATTTTCTTTAACTTTCCCCCTTTCCTAGTGTAATAAGTTCAAATAGTAATTGATTCACTATACTTGAAGTGGAACACTCTATTTTAAGAGGCGAAATTCACGGTAGTTGGAGTATGTTAAGTTGTGTTGCATGGTTGGTAATTGTCTATTGAATTTATTTATTTATTTTTTTCTTATTTTGTAACAGTGCACTAATAGTCAATTGAAGCTATGTTGCATGGTTGGTAATTGTCAATTGAAGTTGTTTTGTGCACCTAGTTTTCTTATTGTATTGCTAATATGGAAGAGAAGTATAAGGAAGTTAGTAGGGGAGAGGACAGTGCGCTAACTACTTTGATGGCATCATAAATGGGGCTAGTTCTCACATATAAAAATCAAATGTCAGTATCAGTGTTTTCAAGTTCTTCTAATAGATGTAAATTGTTGGTTCCTTTTTTTCTTAGAGCAATTCCAGTATTGCTTACATTGCAACTTTACTTTAGAGTAGCGCAAAAAACTTGCTCCAATTTTTTACTACATTTTTGCACTACTTTGAAGATGTGAACAGTATTGCGCTACATGCTATTCACCGCTACAATTGTTTTCTTCAAAATTTAATTTTTTAATAGATTTTTATTTCTACATATTATTTTTGACAAAATATACATCAATGAAATTATTTATTTTGTTAATAATTTTAAATTTTGATTTATAGTTTTATTTAAATTTTATTTTTACTAATATATTCATGTAGAGTAAATGTAGTGCGAACAATTGGAGACAAAAGTTAAATTCTGTCATTCTCTACTCTAGAGTAGCGTAAACTCTACAACAGAGTAGAGGATTGAAGATGGTAGTACTTTGCCATTTACAATGAAGGAAAAGGAAAGGAAGAATTTGCTTGTTATATTTTTCAAGTGTATCCCCGTTAATCACTACAGGGCCCAAGTGTTTGGTTGCTTGATTATTTGAAATTTCTCTCTACCTGCGACTGTGTGAAGTAGGTCTTGGTCCTAAAATTTCTGTATTAATATACTAGGAAATCATTCTGTAGCTTAAATGGGCAGCTTAGTTTGATTTTTATGTGATATGGTGCCTTGTTGTGCTTCCTTGTTAATCCTTTCTGAAGTTGTCTTATATTAGAGCACAACTCTCTACTTGTAATCCAACTGGCTCTTGATGTGGTGCTAATTTTAACTCATTTTTAAAGTTTCAACATTTCATCAAAAGCTAAAATATTTGTGATTTTTGGACATGGTCATGGCTCAGTAATGGTTCATCAATTGGACTTGATAACAGGACGTATAGTTTAAATACAATTTTTTTATGGCTAGTGCAACTCTTGTTCTTGTTATATTCATAAGAGTTGAGTGCATATGAGGTCGCTGGGAATAATATTGTCTCCTGTCAGATTTAGACATGCCTAGTGTAACAGTACAATCCCCTTTGTGTTTGGGAGAGACTACTATCGTCAATTTTCCTTTCTTTATTGCTAGTAGTTTATTTTTTTTTTCTCCTCTTTTTTCGTGTGTGTGTGAGTGTGTGTGTGTTTGTTGGGTTCACTTTACCATTGCTGTAGCATTTTTATATTATTTGTACTTGAGTTATAAGGCCTCAGGAGATATCTGTTTATAATCTTTGTCCTGATATAATTTTGTGTTTGCTTGACTCTTAGGCCGTGCCGTGTTAAGTTGTTTGGATGACATTGGCACTTCTGTCGAACAATGAGTTCCAGTATGTTGGCTGGGGAACGAAGGTATATTAATAAACCTCATTAAACTAACTTTCTTTAGTATGTTGAATGTGTAGCGTTCTAAATTAGTCGAATATGATGTCCTAAGGTTGCTCAAGAGCAATAGCATTAACAGTTAGTAGAATATGATGTTTTGAGACTTCTAGCGTGAAGTTGTATTTAATTACTAATTTTTATGGCCATGGAAGTTGATTATTGGTGGCTTCACCTTGTTGTATGAAGTGCATTCTCTCATTAAGACTGGATGAGAAACTTTTGCCAAAAGCTTCAAGATAGAAAAATGTTCATGGTTGTCTTCGGAGTTCGCAAACAAGTGCAGGGTTGTCAATTTTGCACTTGTCATCTGCACTTTTTTTTTTCCCTTCCGTTTGTGTGGTTTGTTCCACCCGCTCGTAATGTACTTTTTCTTCTTTGATTTCTGTTACTGATTGTATTCTAACCCATTTTTTCCTTAGATGGGCTTCTGCGAGAAGGGGTGGCATGACTGTTTTGGGGAAAGTTGCTGTTCCCAAACCCCTGAATTTGCCAAGTCAAAAGTACTAGTTTCCTGACATTCTCGTTCATTTATATCTGGCTGTCATTTATTAATCTTTGGTATCCTTCAATGATAATAGGCTAACATGTTTTTGGATTTTGATTTTGGTTGAAGGTTGGAGAATCATGGTTTGGATCCCAATGTTGAAATTGTTCCCAAGTGAGTGGTGATTTCTGCTATATTGTGTGGTCAGCACCACACACCAGTATTATCTAAATGCTGAACCATTTCCTTGAACCAAGTTCTTCATTAGTAGCATTTCTCTGTTGACATGTTCAGGCCCTGTAATATTTTGAAGTGGTTGGACCTTTGTTCTTGAACAGGGGTACTCTTAGCTGGGGAAGCCGCCCGTCTTCCTCGGGTTCAAATCCATGGATATCATCATCAGTATCACCAAATGCTGAAGGTGGTACTGTTTCCACAAGTCACCTTAGTGGCCGCCCTTCATCGGGTGGAAGTGGGACTCGACCATCGACCGCTGGTAGTGAGAGAACACATGAAGCTGTTTCCAGTGCGTGGGGTTCAAATTCTAGACCCTCATCAGCCTCTGGAACATTATCCTCAAATCAGACATCGTCGACTTCATTGCGGCCCAAAAGTGCTGAAAACAGACCTAATAGCTCACAGCTATCAAGGTTTGCAGATCTTCCAAAAAATTCAGAAGCATGTGGCCCAAGTGCTACTGCAGAAAGATTGGTGGGCTCAAGCTCTCCTCTTTAAATACATCTTCTTAGTACCGTAATAAAACCATTTTTGTGATTCATAAGCATGGTAGTGGAACGATCAAATTCAAACACACAATAAACTCATTCACTTGACGCGGGTTTTGCTGTGACGGACGAGTCTTAGTGTATTTTCAGACCTGCTCCTGATCCTGCCCTTTTTCTTTTAACAAATATATGTATGTGTGTGTGATAAATTTTGTAAGGATTTGTTTAACGTGGGATATATAATTATAAATAAGTTAGCTCTAAGTGGGTATACTCGATAGTGCATTTTGTGGCTGTTCAATGTCCAGGTCTAAACTTTCTTGGCTGACAGGTCACCCGTCAAGTTGCTGTTCCTAGGGTTTTATACGTACCATATATTTGATTTACAATGTTTATACATATTCGTTCTATACCATCGAATTCTAAGAGATTTTTGTATATGCAGATTCATTGAATATCCAGTTTATTGTATGCAATAGTACTGCATGTCTTGTATGTGGACTAAGTGTTGGTAAACTTGCAGGGTGTAAATTCCTACAAGGATGATGCATTTGCACTGAGTTCTGGAGACTTTCCGACCCTTGGTTCTGAAAAGGATAATTCTATGAAGAATACTGAATTAGAAGGTGGGTTGTGTAGATAGAGTTGCTATAAGTTAGTCACCTATGCTGCTTCTCATTCTCTGTAGAATTTAAATTCCAAATTTCTTCGCTATTTTTCTTTATTCTGCATTGGTACCATCGAAATCTCACTTATTTTTGGTGGAAACGATTTAAGAGGAATCATTCCTTATAATGTAAGTGTTGCATTTTCTGTATCACATGGATAAATTATTCTAATTTGATTCCTCTAGAGGCCTAAAAAACACCTGTGTTTGGGTCCTGTTTTTCTGATGAGCATTCCAATATCTGCAGCCTAGATCTATTTATCTCCAGATGTCAGAACATTAGAGAACACGCATGGAACACTTTAATGAGCCTGATTATGTTTCACTGATTTTCTTGGTTTCCCTTTGTCTTTGCTTGTGAGCCCTATTTGGAATATTTTGCTGGATATGTTATGATTCATATCATTGAGTCTTGGCTAATATCCATTGACAGAACCTGGCCTGCCAAGGTCAGCTTCTTCTAGGATAGCTCATGTAAAAGTAGATACAAGGTCCCAGACTGGTCTGTGTACTCAATTTGTCTTCTAAAATTTGAAGCCTAATTCATTTCTTTAGTAGTGTGTTTAATGATATCGGCTTTTAAAGCAGATACGAAACATGGAGCTGTGGATAATATCCATTGACAGAACCTGGCCTGCCAAGGTCAGCTTCTTCTAGGATAGCTCATGTAAAAGTAGATACAAAGTCCCAGACTGGTCTGTGTACTCAATTTGTCTTCTAAAATTTGAAGCCTAATTCATTTCTTTAGTAGTGTGTTTAATGATAATCGGCTTTTAAAGCAGATACGAAACATGGAGCTGTGGATACATGGAGAGCAGATGGTCCCCGAGGTGTAGATGATGATCTTCATCCCAGAATGGAGAAATGGTATGGGAATAACCCTCCACATTTTAATCCCAATGCCTCTACCCCTCAGCATTTCGATACATGGCGTGGCCCTCCTCCAGTGAACAACCCAGCTGGTGTTTGGTATGGCGGGGGACGTCCTCGTGGCTCACCATATGGGTCCCCCACTGTTCGGCCCGGAGGCTTTCCTATGGAACCATTTCCTTTTTATCGTCCTCAGATTGCACCTCCGCCTTTAGCAGGTTCACAGCCTGGTCCCACCTCTGGTCTA